TTGCAGTGAAATCGGTGGGTTAGCGACAGGAAAGTAATGAGGAAGGAAGTGTTGCTGGGAGGGTTTAACTACTGTGGATGCGCTGGCTCCCTCAGCCAGACCCTCCTTCGGCACCGCCTGCCGGCGAGGAGCAGCACCCATGGGTGCCCCAGCACCCAGCCTGGCCAGGGGACACGGAGGGGACCAGCGAGGGGGGTGCTGCAACTGAACTCAAGCAAAACCGCCCCTTGCCAAGGCTGGAAAGCTGAAGGGGTGAAGCAGATGGGTGGCTGCAGGGACAGGGCAGAGAGTGTCACCCCCGGGGCTACACAGGACGGGGCCACCAGCGGCTCCCAGGCAGCAGCCAGGAGGACCAAGGTGCCACAACATCAGTTATTTATTACAGAGAACTTTTCTTCCTTTTTTGTCTTTTATCTTGAGAGGTGAGCCCGATTCATCCTGACAGAGGTTCACAGCGCGTTTTTGCCCGGCGGCTGCTTACAGAGCCACACAAACAAGCAAGATGGTGTAGGCGAAAGGCACCCGGTGCCTGTGCCTCAGGGGGCTGGTGGGCACCGAAACAAGCTCAGCACATCGCCCCCAGCCCTGTGCCATCTCAGGGACAGCTACTGCACGTGGACCTGGCCGGCCCCTGAGACGTCTGGGCTTCCTCGCGGGTGCTCAGCGCCGGCCCCGCTCTCTGAGGATGCTCTCCTGGCACGGACACAGCACCCACCCGCTGCGAGCGCTCGTGAGGACGGGTGTCAAATCAATCCCCGCAGCAGAGATGCCAAGTTTAAAACAAAAAAGAAGACCAAAAAAAAAAAACCAAAAAACAACCACCCAACAGAGGAAAGCAGCCAGCCATCTGCCAAACCAGCAATTTTCAGCTGGATTTCCAGAAACACTTCAGCTTTTAAAACCAAGAGAGGAGAGAAAATAAAACCCCTCCTCTTCCACAAGCATAGAAAGCATTCATGAAATGAGGTGCAAAATTCCTCTTTGACTTCAAAGGCATTTCTCCTGGCTTGTTACCCCCAAATCCTGGCACGACCCACTGGAAAGCCGGCGGGCTCGGCATCACTTCGCTGCCAAGATGACGGCATCCCGCCGGCTGGGGTGCTGTGCTGGGGGAGCCCCGGGGTGTCAGGGCGATGCTGAAAACGTGGTACTTGCCCATTTGGAAGGAGGGAGGAGGAGGAGAGACAGGCAGGAAGCAAGGGAGAATGAAGTTTACACTGCAGCAAAGAGAGCTTGTGTGGTTGGCGACAGCATCCCACTTCTGCCAGGGTGGGTTATCCCTCTCGGCTCGGCGTGCAGAGACGCCAAGACCCAGCAGCATCGTCCCCATGGCCAGGGTCAGCAGGATGCAGCCGAGCCCCGCAGCGAGGATGGGTGAGACCCTCAGCCCAGCCTAGGCTTTGCTGGGACAGTTCAGAGCAAACACCTCCTCGAACGCTGGCCTAAAGCTGTTTTTAGGGGTTATTTCTTGTGCTGTTATTGAAACTTTCTGCAAGCAAAGGCAGGGACCGGGCTGGGGCAGGCGCAGTCCCGAGCACCCTGGTGGCAGCACCCACCCAGGGCACCCAGCTGCAAACCCAGTCCCAGCCAACCCACCTCACCAGCCGCCCACCCCTGCCTGCTCCAGTCCAGCCGTTCCCCCCACCATGGAGCAGCTGCCAGCGGCTC